GGGTCAAGGTTTGTTCTTTTTACCTAAGGGATGAGGTTTTACAGTGGTACAGATGGCTTACAAGAAATATTGAAAATTATCAGTATTGGGCTGTCTTTAAAGAGGAATTAATGACAAGATTTGGCCCTAGTGAACTTTCAAGGCCATACGATGCTTTCTCAACTATGAAACAAACTTCCACTGTTAGGGAGTACTTGGGGAAATTTGAACAAACCCTAGGATTACTGGAGGATCAACCCTCTAGAAGGCACATCCTTGAGAGATTTATAGGAGGGTTGAAGGATGAGCTCAGGTATGAGGTAGCAGCTGGCAGACCTTCTTCTTTGAAGGGAGCTGTGTCATTAGCCAAGCTATTTGAAGACAAGCAAAGAAATGAGAAAAGAAGCAAAGGGAATTGGAATGTTTTTAATCAAGGAAATCCATCTAATCGTACCCTCCCTGAAGTGCCTGTACAAGACAAATCCAAGTTTCCTCAGTTCAAGAAGCTTACACCTGAAGACATACAAAAGAGAAGGAGTCAGAATCTATGTTTTACATGTGATGAAAAATGGCACAGAGGACATCAGGGTAAAGGTAAGCATATATTCATCTTAGAAGGAGTCTTAGAATGTGGAACTGAGGAAGAGATAGAAGATCATGGGTGCAATGATCAAGAAGACCTGGCCATTGAATTGGCTGAAAGTCTGGTAAGAGGAGCCCCTTCTATTTCAGTCCAAGCTCTTAGTGGAATCACAGCCTCCCATACCATCAGAGTTGTGTGGTATTACAAGAATCAAGCCATCAGCATCTTGATAGATTCTGGTTCTACACACAATTTCATTAATACAAAGTTAGTTAGGAGACTTGGATTACCAGTGACAGAATATAGCAATTTTGATGTACTTGTTGCAAGTGGAGAGTTAATTAAAGGAGATGGAGTGTGCCAGGGGGTGTCACTGGATTGCCAAGGAGTGAGCATTCAAGTGAATCTGTTAGTGATGCCATTGGGAGGTAGTCAGATTGTGTTAGGGGCAGATTGGATGAAAACCTTGGAAGATATCACTTTGAACTTTAAGAAGTTGCAGGTAACATTCTTATGTGAGGGGATAAAGAGGACTCTACAGGGAATAGTACCAGGAGAGTTACAATTGGTTAATGAGAAAAATATTGCTAAGTCTGTTAGAGAGCAAAAAGAAGGATACTTAATTCAATTATGCAGTGTTAATTTGCAAGAATCTGTTTCAGGAGCTATTCATGAAGAATTACCTGCAGATGTCCACAGCTTGGTACAAGAGTTTGATGTTATATTCCAAGAACTACCACATCTTCCTCCTGCTAGAGAAATTGATCATAAAATTCCCTTAGAAACTGGAACCAAACCAGTGTGCATTAGACCTTATATGCATGCACATTTCTTGAAAGAAGAAATTGAGAAACAGATTGAAGAGATGCTGGAAAAAGGGATTATCAGACACAGTCATAGTCCTTTCTCCTCACCAGTAGTGATGGTAAAAAAATCTGATGGGAGTTGGAGAATGTGCATTGATTATAGGTCCCTTAACAAAGCTACAATTAAAGACAAATTTCCTATCCCAATTATTGATGAGTTGTTGGATGAGTTACATGGGACACAGTTCTTCACAAAATTGGATTTAAAATCAGGGTATCATCAAATAAGAATGTGTGATTCAGACATTCCCAAAACTGCCTTTAGAACACACAGTGGGCATTTTGAGTTCTTAGTAATGCCTTTTGGACTCACCAATGCCCCTTCAACATTCCAGGCCCTCATGAACAATATTTTCAAAGATATTCTCAGGAAATTTGTCTTGGTTTTCTTTGATGACATACTAATATACAGCAGAGGGTGGCAGGACCATTTGATTCATCTGAGACAAGTATTTCAGATCCTCAAGACCCATCAGTTGGTTGCTAAGATGTCCAAATGTAGTTTTGGACAAAAACAGGTTGAATATTTGGGGCATATTGTGTCTCAGACAGGGGTTAGTGTGGACCCTAAGAAAATTCAAGCAATTACAGATTGACCAACACCCCAGACACTCAAAGGGTTGAGAGGGTTTTTAGGCCTAGTTGGGTATTATCGGAAATTCATCAAGGGGTTTGGAACAATAGCTCAACCCTTAACACAACTTTTGAAGAAAGGAAATTTCCTGTGGAGTGCAAATGCTGAAGAAGCTTTCAATTCTCTTAAAATTGCCCTCACCAATTCTCCAGTTTTGGCTATGCCTGATTTTAATATCAATTGCTTTCAATTCTCTTAAAATTGCCCTCACCAATTCTCCAGTTTTGGCTATGCCTGATTTTAATATCAATTTTGTCATAGAATGTGATGCATCCCCTCACCAATTCTCCAGTTTTGGCTATGCCTGATTTTAATATCAATTTTGTCATAGAATGTGATGCATCAGGTACAGGAGTTGGGGCAGTATTAATGCAAAAAGAAAAACTCATTGCATATTTCAGCTTTGCTTTAAAAGGAAAGAATGCTACTCTATCAACATATGAAAAGGAACTGTTAGCTATAATTCTATCTACAAAGAGATGGCAACAATACTTGTTGGGAAGGAGTTTTGTGATAAGGACTGATCACCAAAGTCTCAAGTATATTCTTGAACAAAGAATACATACAGGTATTCAAAACAAATGGTTGGCCAAGTTGCATGGATATGATTATACTGTGGAATACAAACCTGGGAGGATGAACAAAGCTGCTGATGGATTATCAAGGGTATATGAGGATGTTGAGGATGATGTAGGAGTTTCAGTAATTTCTTTTGTCAGGAGCAACTGGTTAGAAGATATCAAACAAATGAACCTGACTGATCCTTTCTTCAAAGAGTTGGAGTTAAGACTACAACAAGAATCAGAGGCTACTGGGGAATATCTTACAAAGGAAGGAATTTACTACTACAAAGGCAAAATTTTGGTTAGTCCCACTGCACAAAACTTAAAAAACTCCTTATTACAAGAGCATCATGACAGTCCTACTGCTGGACATTCTGGTATTGCCAGAACCTTACACAGGTTGAGGAGGGTATTTTATTGGAAGGGCATGAGGAAGGATGTTCAGAATTATGTACAGGCTTGTGATGTATGCCAGAGAGCAAAAGGAGAAAATGTAGCTTCCCCAGGACTTTTACAACCCCTACCTATTCCAGAATATGTGTGGGAGGACTTGTCAATGGATTTCATCACACATCTTCCCAAGAGTGAAACACAGTCAGTTATATTTGTGGTGGTTGATAGACTATCAAAGTATGCTCATTTCTTTGCATTAACCTACCCTTATACTGCTCAATCTGTTGCAAAGGTATTTTTTGATGGAGTGTTCAAACTTCATGGTATGCCTAGATCCATAGTCAGTGACAGAGATCCCTTGTTTACTAGTTTGTTTTGGAAAGAGTTGTTCAAACTGCAAGGTAGTAAGCTCAAATTCAGCTCAGCATATCACCCTCAAACGGATGGGCAAACTGAGATAACTAACAAGAGCTTGGAAGCTTACTTGAGGTGTTTTTGTTGCCATAAACCTAAAGAGTGGTGTAAATGGCTTCCATTGGCTGAATTCTGGTTTAACACTACTTGGAGGGTGTCTACAAATTCTACCCCTTTTGAAGCTGTGTATGGTAGACCTCCTCCCTCACTGCTCTCTTATATTCCTAAAAGCTGTAGAGTTGAATCAGTGGATGAAGCTCTTTTTTCTAGAGATGTAGCTTTAAAATTCCTAAAAGATAGTTTGAAGAAGGCAGCAGAACAGATGAAAAAGTTTGCTGACAGACACAGAAGTTTCAGGAGCTTTGAGGTTGGAGATTGGGTATTCCTTAAGCTACAACCTTACAGACAACTCAGTGTCTCATCTTACAAAACTCATAAGCTTTCTCCAAAATATTATGGTCCTTACAAAGTGCTGGAAAAGATTGGTGAAGTTGCCTACAGGTTGGAACTCCCAAGCCATGCACAGATCCATCTAGTCTTCCATGTTTCTCAGCTTAAAAAAAGAATTGGTTCTGGTGTAGTACTCCAATCTGATTTTTCTAATTACACTACTGAGTTGGTTGATGAACCAGAAAAAATTGTGGACAGGCGCACAGTTGTGAAGGGAAAAATGTTGATTCCTCAGGTATTGATCAAATGGAAGCAGCGATCCCAATTGGATTCTACTTGGGAGAATTATTGGGATCTTGTGAAACGGTTTCCTACATTTGACCTTGAGGCAAGGTCAAATTTAAGGGGTGGGGAATTGTCAGGAACGGGTGAGGATTGCACTGGAAGCTGGCCAACAGGAACTCGACCTGAACCTGAGAATTAGACAGAGGCTGAAGAATGTGCACGTTGGGGAAGAACTGGAATGATTCCAACTTGAAGGGCTCTTGTGCATATTTGTTAGCTCAGAAACAATAACAGACAATTGTAATAAATGTTAGAGTTGGTTACAACAGTTAGAGACAGTTAATTCTGTTGTTTGTTAGTTTGTTACAACCGTGCACGTTTTGTGCACGTTACGTGCACGTTTTTGTGTTTCTTTTGTTTTGAGCGGATATAAGAGGAGAGAAGGAAAACTGTAACAGAGAGGAAATGAATGAGAATTTTTTCTTCTCCTAAACTCTGAATTCTGTTCTTCTTCCTTCATTATCTCAATTCTTTTTACTTCCTGTTTTCAAAACCTGAAAGTCTCTGCCATGGCCAGAAATAACAATTTGAGGTCCAATCGAGGGTCTCGATCCTCTCAATATGTATGAAAATTTCAGCACTTAAAACAATCTCTTAACCCTTATGAACTTCTGAGTAAAATCAGAACCTCCTCAAATTTCATCACAGCCACCACCCCTACTTTATTTCAATATCACGTCTATACCACAAGGAAGCAATTTATTTTATTTTATTTTGTTTTGGTCTTATAGTCCAATCAAGGGCATGGGCACAACTTATATCCAATTCTAGTTCTTATGTGCTAAAACCTTGGAGCCACTTAATAAAGCACAGATATTTTCAGTGGACATTACCTTTGTGCATCCTTCTCCCAATTGTCCTTTATCTTCTTCACCTCATCACCCCAAATCTTTTCGCTGATCTCGAACACAGGAGTTCTCTTCAGAAATTTGCCATTTACAATGTGACCACGACATCTCTTCAAATACCTCGCCTTCAACTCACTGATTTTCCCCAAAACCTCTTGATTCGTACGAGATTTGTTGAGGATTTTTCCGATGCGATCAAATAGATTGATTCTTGGGTCGTAAGACTCCGCTGGTTCTCTGGCGATCTCGAGAACCGCGGTCAGTAGACTCAGCTCCGCATTCGGAGGCCAAAATTGGTTCTCTTTTGGTTGAGGGTTCGAAAGGGGATCCACCATGATTGAGGATGAAGAAAGATTCGACATTTGTAGGCTTTTTAGATGGATTTGTGCTGTTCTGTGGTTTTAATGTCGGCGTGGGGGCGGGAGGTCATAACATTTTATTGGATTTTTGGATTTTGTTTGCGGATTTGTCTGGGAATAGGATTGCTATTTCCTTAAATGGGGTTATTGGTTGGGACAAATTAGGGCAAAATGGGAAAATTGTTAGGGGGGGTTAGTCATCTAGAACTTAAAACTGGAACTGGGATAATTTGTGGGATAAATTTTTAAGGTGTTAGTCATATAGAACTAGGAAATTGGATATTTTTTTATAGTGTTAGTCAAGAAGAACTTTTGTAGAACTAGAACTGTATTATTTTTTTGGTGCGTTAGTCAAGTAGAATTTTACAAGAATTAGAATTGGGATAATTGGTCATAATTATCCCACAAATTATACTACCTATATATATAACCATAAGTTCTCCTCTCTCAAATTATCCCACACATTGGAAAGAATACAATTGGGAAAAAAAGTGAAACGTCGCCTCCCTCCCTCTTGGTTAAAATTTCTCTGCCATGAAGTCAATCATCCGTTCATTTTTCTGTTTTTACTTTGTTTTTGTGATGATTAGATCTTTTATTATTATCTCCAAGATGTATTACTTTATTGATAGCTTTTTGACGTTTAAATTATTTTATTATTATTTGTTTGATCTAAGTTTTCTCTCCACAACAGTGGTTTAGGTTAAGACTATAGTGTTGGTGAGTTAGTGCTAAAGATATGAGGCTATTTATGTTTTTTTATAAGTTAGAAAGCAACTTTGCGATCATATGCTTCTGGCAGAGGAGCTATAGGTTTAGGTCCTGATGGCTTGGATGCAGCACGCTTAGAGGAAGTGGTTGGGGAGGGCATACTTGGTGCTGATGCTGAGATGGAATCTCCGGATGGAGGAGATGCTACTGTAGATATGCAACATGCTACCACCGTTCCCAGTGATAATGTGCCATTTTATGGTTCTGGACCATCCACTCTGAATAATGGTAAACGAAAGCATAGGTCAATTGGTACTGCAGCCACATCCTCTGCATCTTCTCAGTTATCGTTGCAAGAGGTAGGAGAGGGAGTTGTCACTGTAGGTAAAGCTTTTCATGAGTTAGTTGATGAGTTGAGGAAGATAAGAAATAGTCGGAATAAAGAATGGGTTGATGCTGTTATGTCTACTTCTGAATTGACTAAGCCACAAAAATGGAATATACTCAGTGATAATATCTCACAGGACATGAAGGATGCCTTTATTGACATGGATGCAAAAGACCGCTATGAGTTTCTACATTTTAGGTTGACTGGTGAGATAATGAATGATGGTAAGGATGAGACTCAAGCCAATTCTGATCCAAATGGTGAAGATTATGATTCTGATTTCTTTGGAGATGTTTAGAGGCAGTAATTTAGAAGTTTAGGATATTTATATGTTTTTTAAGATATGTTATGGTGTTAGGATTATGTGGAATTTCATATTGTCAAACTATTTTTCATTGAGTAGGTGGAACTTGGGATAATGTCATGTTTTTTTAAGATTTGGAAAGTATTTTTAGGATCAATTTCATTTCAATTTGTCAAAACTATTTATTTTTAGGATATTGCTATTCTTTTATTTATTTGTTTATATTATGTTCTTATGTTATTTGACTTGTCAGCTATCTTAGTTTGGTGCATTTAATGGATGAAGTTTCTATTATATGTAGCATCCCAACAAATGATTCTTGTATGTTGTGTAGATGAGAGTAGTGCAATATTATGTTTTCTTCTATTTTTCAATAGTTTGGTGATTAACGATTAGCATACATATCAACATTTTTTAATTGATTGCTACTTTGTTATCAATCCCATTGTGTGCTAATAATAGAGTGCTTTATTAATTTCCTATGCACATAAGTTTCATGTAAATTGATTATATTTCATTGGTTATATTATTTAATAGGATGGAGGAAGATCAAAATTTGCCCATTTTATATTTTCATCATGAAGACTTCGATGATAATCTTTTGATTCGCGTAATCGAATTAGCTGCTGAGGCTGCAGATCTGATCACAAAGGTATCAAGACTTCTATCACAGGAGTTCATAGCAAATACGCTTAATTTTCGAAGTCCTCGACGTGGTATCACAGATCTTGGTCTCACATACTTACAATCCAAGATGGATAATCATCCACAAGATTTTCGTAGAATTTACCGCATGTACCCAGATTGCTTCATGAAGTTATGCAATATCTTGAGAGAGCGGGGCCATATACAAGACACATACCACATTAGTGTTGAGGAGATGATTACTATTTTTCTTCTCACGATTAGTCAAAATCAACGATACTCTGTTGTAACTGATCGATTTGATCGATCAAAATGGACCATCAATGTATGTTTCAATAAAGCATTACAGACTTTGGTATCTTTAGCATCATGCTTGATGGCATCACCCCCTACTGATCCACCTGATAAGGTTAAATCAGAATCTCGCTTTTGGCCTTATTTCAAGGTAATTATTATTGCTTTAAATTTTACACACACGCAGACACACACACGTGGACACATGCGTGCGCGACCACACACATATCACTTGAGATGGTCTGACACATTGATTATTCAGGACTGTATCGGTGCAATAGATGAGACTCATATACCGTGCATGGTGTATAACATAGATCAGACGCCCTATCGAAATAGACATGGTTTTCTCTCTCAGAACGTCTTGGCAGCTTGCACATTTGATCTCAAATTCATTTATGTCTTAGCTGGGTGGGAGGGGTCTGCTAATGATGCAAGAGTCTTGAAGGATGCAATGAGTAGACCTTATGGACTTCCACTTCCACAGAGTAATAATCTTTACATAGTATTCTATCAATTAAAGAATATTTTTTTAGTTTTATAATATTTTTTATCATTCATATTTTTTATTCTTGTTTGTAGATAAATTTTATATAGTTGACTGCGGCTATCCAAATTGGCTATAATTTCTTGCTCCATACCGAGGTCAAAGGTACCATCTTTCAGAGTTCGGCCCTGCTAATAATCGACAACGATCACGAAATTCAAAAGAAGTTTTCAACCATCGGCATGCGTCTCTTAGAAATTGTGTCGAGCGTATCTTTGGAGTTTTTAAGTCTAGATTCTACATTTTCAAGAGCCAACCTCCAGGTTTTCCGTATGCCACACAAATAAAGATGTTCGTTGCATGCGTAGGATTGCATAACTTTTTAAGATTGGAGAATACAAATGATGACTTCGACATTTATGATCTTCCACTAGAAGCTCCACAAAATGTTGCTGATGCAGATGATGATTCTGATGAAGAAGATGAGTTACAGACTCAACAGACTCAATGAGCAGCTGCGGGAGCTTAGAGAAATTCTATGACAGAGGCCATGTGGGATGATGGAAGTCGAGTCACTCTAGGAATTTAGATTTTTATTTAGTTGTAAATATTTTATTATTTGAGATGAATAGTGATGCTTTATTGCATTATATTTTATAGTTATTACTAGACTAATCAATTGCTTATCAATCTTATATTATTTTTAATATACAATTATTAACAATAATAATTTATACCCACCATTACCCCCACCAAATTATCCTACCAAATTATCCCCTTCATAATATTATCCACCATTATCCCACCAAATTATCCTACCAAATTATCCCACTTCAAGAATTATCCATCATTGTTCCACTAAATTATCTCAGTGTTAAAAAATTATCTCACTTTACCAATTATCCCAGTTCTACTTAAAATGTTCTAGGTGACTAACCCCAAGGGTAAATTTTACCAAATTATCCCGAACTTTGGGTTATTCCACATAAATTCCATCTAAATTCTATAAAGTACACAACAACTTTCTCGAGCTATTGAAAATTGTCATAGACAACATTAGCACAAATGATAAAAGGTAAACCATTCTTATTAGGTAAATTATTCTTATTAATATCATGCCACTAAAAATTGAAGTGGAAGGGTAAGTTCAAAGATATTTTCTTTATCCAAGAGGATATAGTCTAGTTGGTAAATTGCATATGAGTATTACTTTAAAGTCTTGTGTTCGACTTCTCTAGGAAGCATCAACACGATTTAATTTCTTAAAATACCTGAGACCCATACTCTGAAAAGGGCGAGTTTGTGCACGAACTCTAGAGAGAGTCTAACTACTTACGAACGAGGAATGGAGAGAGAGGAAAACTTTTTTGATGATATAAAATTGATTGTAACAAGCAAATTCTGTGTACACATATTTTTTTATAGTCAGTTTAACCTAATTGCATATTTACCAAAGTAGCAAACACCTAATAAATAATCTGTTATTTAAGAAGGTGGCTATAATGAAGAACTAGTATTTTAAACGTTGCTAAGCACAATCATACATCCGTGATTCCATATCTCTATTATACTTTAAGAATTTCAAAAAGACATATATACACTGTTCAATATGTATCATGTTTGTCTCAATAAACAACTATTTTAGTAAAATTTATTGTGACACATACATATATTCATTTTAAAATATGTATACTATTTTTCTAAAAATAATATTTATTTGAAATTTATTGATAGGATCAAAATACATTAACAATGTTATAAAAAATAGTTGAATAAGAATTCATATTGTACTATAACGATATCTTTATTACTTTTATAAATTTTATAAGACCAATAATTTTACTATAATTATTCTTTTAGATGCTTTATAACAGTATAACTATAAGTTATATTATATAATAAGTATATTATATTTATTGAATTAATTATATTAATTAAAATATTAATTTAACATTTATATTTAAATGTAGTTTTATGTTCAAGTTATTTAATAGTCTTTAAAATATTTTCTTAATTTTAGACATTAGACTTTGTTTAATTATCATAGGATTTTTTTTTCATTTTATATCTTATTTTCATCTTGATAAGATATGAATTATATTTCTTCTTGTTGTGCGCGTCGCGGAAGCGTGACAACCAAACGGGCGTGCTTCGAGAACCAAATCAAACAAGACGTCGAGCCTATAAGGGCAAACAAATCATTAACAAGCACAATCAACACAATAGTTTTACCGTGGTTCGGCATGGGCTGGCCTACGTCCACAGGGCAAGAAAGGGGATTGG